CCCAAAACCATGTCCCCCAACAGGCTACTCGGGATGTGGTGCTGAGCAGGGCGCCAGAGCAGGAGGAGGACCGGGCGGTGAGCCTGAGGAATGCGGCGGCCATCTACGACCTCCTGAGCATCACGCTGGGCAGGAGGGGACAGTACGTCATGCTCTCAGAGGTACGGCCAGCTCCTCCCTCCCAGGAGAAAATGTGATGGAGCCACCAGGGGTCCTCCTTCATGGTCCCTTCCCTGTAAAAGGCTGAGAATAGTGCCGAGCACAATGTTAATAACTGTCAGCTGTGGTTATTCTTATTGGATGTCTATCTACATTTCAAAAGCACTTTCACAAATCTCATTCCATTTGCTTTGCACCATCACCCTGTGAGACCATTCACCTGCCATGGAGGTGGGCACTAAGGGCCAGGGGTTCTGCATGGACGGGAAGCCCCTGAGGTTTTCTGACCAGAACCAAGCAGGCCTCCTACGGTCTCCTGGCCAGGGGCTTGGGCAGTGATGACCCTGGAGGGTGGAATGGGCTTGGTGTGTCCTGGCAGAGAAGTGCTGACCGGCGTCCTCTCCCCAGTGCCTGGAGCGAGCCATGAAGTTTGCATGTGGAGAATTTCACCTTTGGTACCAAGTGGCCCTCTCCATGGTGGCGTGTGGAAAGGTAAGGCCTCGGCCTGGGGCTATGCATCACCCTCAGGGGGCTCTGCTCTCCTCTGGTCCCTCCCAGAGGTGGGGATGGCATGCAGGACCCAGAAATGTTTGTCAGGCAGCTGATTTTCATCTCCAGGAGGGTGAGGGCATGGGAGGGCCACACACAGACCCCTGTGCACGTGAATCCCGTGTACATGTGTGAGTCTAAGGCTGCTTTTCTCTGAGGGTGTGTGTGTGCGCAGGGAACATCGTGGCACTTCCACAGTGAGTTGACGGGCAGACTGCATGAGTCAGGCATGGGGAGTGGGTTCCAGCAAGGGAAACTGTGTTCCGTTTGGGCTGTGGCTGACTTCCTGCCCCCAAGCGTGGAGTCCAGGAGGCACCTGCTCGTGAACCTGGAGCTGACCGGATCCCGGGAGGACGGGCTGCGTTTGCTCTCTGCCCTCCAAGCCCTGTTCCAGTACCCCTCATTCTTCCTCTGATGAGAATCACACTTACATAAGCCCCTATTTTAAGTAGCGACATGATAGGAAAAGCTTCCCGGGGCTGGGTACTGTGGCTGTTGGAACTGAGGCTGCTTCGAAGGCAGGAAGTAAGGTGGCATGAGCTCGCAGATCATTCCAAGAGCTGTAAACACCCAGGGCCCTTTTGTGGGGCTGAGGGAATTCCTCGTCCCCTCTGCCCCTGCCCGCCCATCTGTGCCACCTGCCATTTCTAGCCCTGCACCGTCTCCGGGGAGGGCCCTCCTAGGCTGCCAGCGCCTCCGTCATGAATGCAGGGTGTACAGGCTGGGTCCTGGCAGGGAGAGGAAGGGAGAGCAGGTGCTGTAGCCTAGCCGGTAGGAAGTCCAGCCAAGAATCCAATGAGAGCTTCTCTGCCCCTGCCCTGCTGGGCATTTGTCTTCCCAAGCCTCTCCCCACCCCCCAAGCCCCATCACATTGGCCACCTCACAGAGCACCCTGAACATGACATGATGTACCCCAGCTCTGTGCTCAGCAGGGTCTTGTCAGGGCTCAGGGAGAGTTCAGAACAGAGATGAGGAGGGAGGAGTGGGGGCTGGGGCTTCCATGGAGCCTGGGCAGACAGTGCACGGGGCATGTGAGAGCTTCCTGCCTCCAGGGAACGGAGAAAATGCCTCCAGTTCTGTAATAGTGAGCGTGGCCCAGGAGAGCCAGGGCCGTACGGGTTCTCGCCTTCTGTGAGTCATGGACCCCTGTGAGATGCTGAGGAAAGCTGGGACCCCTCCTCAGGAGAAAGCACCGCCCACGAAGTTAGCTTTAATGTCTGGTTGCTCCCGGAGGCCCCAGTCTCGGAGAAGGTGCCATGTTAGCCTGGAAGGTATGGGGCCTTCCACCTCCTCACCGAGAAGACCAGGCTCAGAGGGGCCCTGATGCAGCCTGGCTCGTTCCAGGGTCCCGGGAGCTGGTGCCCGGCCCCGCTCCTTCACAAGAGCCAGGCGCACAGGAGAATGCGCTTATGGTGGGTGCGAGGTGATTGGTGAGTTCCTCACACGAGGGCCCTCCAGCCGGGTTACACCTACCCGTACAGCAGACGATTGGTCTAGAAGTACACTCTCCACCTCCTCAGGAGCCCTGCCCAGAGATCGGTGGGCCTGGTTGGCCAGACCTCACCTTTTCTAAGATCCTGAGGTGGAAATCCAGGTTCTGAACCTGTGATTGTGCCAGAAAGGTCTTCCAGGAGGTGAGGCGGACAGATAGAAAGGTACCCGGCACTGCAGCCTGCAAGAAGAAAGTGAGTTCCATGGCATGATGTAGGTCGCTCTATCTTTTGGTCTCCTCAGCAGTCACATTGGCTGCGTTGCTAGGTAACCAGTGTGACAAAAAAAAAAATGCCGGCTGCTCTGACTGCGGAGTCCTCAGATGGCTCCTTAAATAGCAGCATTTTGTGGTCTGTGTGGGGGAGAATGTGAATGTGGAGGTCAGGGTTAGAGAACCCTGTGCTTCAAGGATGCACAGGTCAGCAACCAGGGAAGGAAGCCAAGGAAAGGCCTTGAAGCTCGCTGGGGTGTGTGGCCAGAGGGGCGGCGGTGCGGGTGCTGGGAATAGCTCACAGGGGAGGGTCTCGGGAGAGGTGGGGGGCCTGGCAGCTCTGCCAAGCTCTTCAAAGCCTCTCTTGCTCCAGCCCACGCAGGGCACCCTTTGCATCCTCAGCCTAACAAAGGCTGCCATCGGCTAGCACCCTCTTGTAGGTGGTCCTCTTGATTCCTGAGAGAGCAGTGGGGGACAGTGGTGTTTTTCTTCTCTCTCCAGCCGTCCTGATAGCCAAGAGCCATGGCCTCTTCCCCTTGCCACAGTACAGGGCAGAGGAGGCGGTTGGCTGAGACACCTGGAATTGGCCTAATAAGCCTGAGCCCAGAGCCCGGGAAGTCACATCTGGGCCGAGAAAAGCTCAGACTTTCTCTAAAGGGTCAGCGAATAGACAGTTTTGACTTTGCAGGCCAAATAGTTTCTGTGGGAACTACTCAATTCTGCCTTTGCATCGTGAAGGCAGCCACAGACAATACATACATGAATGGATGTGGCTGAGTTCCAATAAAACTTTATTTACAAAAGCAAGCTGAGGGCCACATTTGGTCCTCATACTTACAGCAATGCTTGGTCCATAGTGAGACCTAGATACGTGTTGCTGGTGTTCTTCTCATCACTGTGATTAGTTATATCCCTGCCTCGCCCAGGATGCTCCCCCCTTGGGCCTCCGTCCACCCGTGGCCATCCTCAGCAGGTCCAGTCTAACAGAGTCCCTAGAGCCTTGGGCATCCCCAGATTCCTGTCTGGAGGTTCCCCCTGGCTCTGCCACCTTGGCTTCTCTCCTGCTAGTCTGCCAGCCTTTAGACTCCCACCCCATTCCCTACCGCCGGCCCTGCCTCCAAGCCCCATGCGGTTTTGGCCTGATCTCATCATCTGCTAACCCAAGAGTTAGAAGTTTGAGACAGCCCCTTTCTACCTCTAAACTTTGTGTGGTTCACATCTGAATTCTTTTTAAAGAGCCTCCATCTGTTGTCACCTTAGCTGTTGTCATATCACTTCTGGGTAAGGATCACAGCTTCCATTCTCCAGGTGTGGAAACTGAGGCCTAGGAGGGACTTGCCTGCCCACACTGCCTGGGCTCCTACTGGGCCCACTTCCTGGCTCTTGAGAGGAAAGGGATGCAGAGACAGGGCTGGCAATTTGGGAACTGCCCCCATTGTGCACAAGGTGTCCAGTCTGTTGCCACCTAGGGCTGCGTGTGATGGCGATGCCTGCTCTTTCTCTGCAGTCGGCCTACGCTGTGTCGCTGCTACGGGAGTGTGTGAAGCTGCGGCCCTCGGACCCCACCGTGCCCCTGATGGCCGCCAAAGTCTGCATCGGGCCCCTGCACTGGGTAAGTGAGCTGTGGGGGCGGGGTGGGCAGGGGCCAGGGCCTGGCGGCCTCCTGCGGGAGGATGATGGGGGGGCATGCCCGTCTTGCTGTGTCTATGACGTTGTTATAATGAAAACATATGGAGAGAGCTGGATGGATCAGGGAGGCTTCCTGCAGGAGGAGGTCTGGGACTAGGCTTGGAGGTCTGGGAGGGGTCCACACAGGCCAGCGGCAGGCCCTTCCGTCACAGCTTGCTCGCCCTCGCCACATGATTAGCAGGGAAACCAAGTCTTTCCGGAGAGACTGCTGGCATCCTGCACCCTAGAGGTAGAATGTGGTTGGGATGTGGGTGGGATGTGGGTGGGATGTGGGTGCTGGCAGATAGGAGGCACCCAGGCTGAGCAATGCAACAGCGGGTGGTGGTATGAGCTGGAAAACAGAGAGGGTGGGTTCGCCAACCCTTAGCTCACAGTCCTGTGTATTCCTAGGCTCCTGAGAGGGGCCCCAGCTCCATCACTAGGATGAAGCCCAAAATATCCACCTCGCTGAGGTGGGGCGGGGGAGGGCATCTGCGCTCCCAAAGGCTGCCAGCTTTGAGGTGGCTGTGGGTCCACCCAGCCAACGGCCGCCCTTGCCAGGAAGTCCTAAATTTAGGTCTTCCCGCCGTGGAGGAACTGTTTCCCTCAGCAGCATAATTACAGTAATTATGTGCATTCAGATTACATGGTAATAAAATTAGGATCAAATCAGTCCAAATTGAAATCAGATGAGTTAGGAGCAAAGGAATCAATGACAACATAAATAGAAAAGCCCAAAAGGCAACTTAAACATGCAGACTTGTCACCAGAATCAGGGAGGAGGGGAGCTGTTTAACCTCAGCTGAGACCATATTTGGGTTAGGGGGCTGGTTTGAGCCTGGGTTTAAATCGGGTACAGGCTGGAGTGGGTCCTGTTGGAGGGCCGCGGGGTGGGGGGTCTCCTAGTGGCCTTCCCTGATGGAAACCTCACCTTTGTGGCTCCCTAAAGCCTCGCTTATACCTGCCGTGGACACGGAGCACATCTTATTGTAGTCGTTAGTTTTTGATCGGCTGCTTCCTGCCTGGCCCCTACTGGAGATTGAGCCTGCAACATGGGCATGTGCCCTTGACCAGAATCGAACCTGGGACCCTTCAGTCCCAGGCCGACGCTCTATCCACTGAACCAAACCAGCTAGGGCTCATCAGTGTTTCTTGAGGGAGGGAACTGTCTCCCTTCCTGAAACCCCAGCCCAGAGCTGATGCCTGGTGCTTATTGAATGAATCCTACTTGCTGATGAGCACAGACACATGGCACCCAGTTCTGCCTTACATGGTACTTCTCTTCCCAATTAGGCAGGGAGCTTCTTCACCTGCCGTGACTTGCACCCTGGGCCCCCTTCCCCACACAGAACCCTGCACATAGTAGGTGTTCACTACTGCCTTACAGAATGACGCCTGCCCCAGCTGGCCGGGAGGGACGCGTGTGGGAGGTCTGCATCTGGTTCAGTGGTGCTCCCTGCCTCCCTGGGTTGTGCTGGGCCGAGAACAGAAACAGGCTGTTGGTAGCCAAGAGCAGCCCGTTCTCAAGGAGGCCCAGAGAGGGGCAGCAGCACTCCCTGTCATCAAGGCTGTGAGCAGGAAGAATGGGTCTGACGGGCACACAGGGGGGTGCTAGTACTTGGGACACAGCGTGGATCCCGAAAGGTTTCTGACATCACCTTGTCCGCTTTCTTCGTGGCCATTTTGGCTCACCTCAGCCCCCAGCAGGCCCAGCCGTGGTCCAGCCAAGCGCTGTTAGCCGGGGACAGAAATCTCCAGGTGGCCAGTTTGGCCCAGGTTGCAGAAAGGGAGGCTGAAACTGGGACATTTGAAAAACGAGTTGTGCTGGATGAAACCGGACTGGGTGGCCATGTGCCCAGAGGCGGAGCACCTGCTGTCCCACGTCCTGTCCTTATGCCTGGAGCCAGTATGGGATGTCCCAGGCTGGGTCTGGGTCTCAGGGCGAGTAGGGAGGGGACCAGGCAGAGGGATGATCACGTGCTGGTTGATATGGGGTTTGCCGGGGGGAGAGGGGGTGCAGCGGGGGGGTGGAAGCAGCTGGGGCAGCTATGGAATCAGGTGGGAGGCTTAGCCTGGCGCTCCCCTAGGTGACAGCTGTGTGTGGCAACCTCCTGCTCTGGCACGGCCAGCATCTGACCAGGGTCCCCAGTCAGTGATCTGGGACAGGAGAAAAGGGAGATATAAATATTTTTTAATATCCCTTCAATCACAATTATTTAAAAGTCATGCAATTTAAAAAGTTGACTTTCTAGGAGGATGTGAGATGGGGGTGTGTATGTGTGCTGTGTGCCACACACAGAAAGAGAAGGGGAGGATGTTACGAAACAGAAAAGCAGACCATGCTCCTCTTGGGAAGGGTCTGGGGTACTGTCTCGGGGCCACTTCCCCTGAGGGGACTGTGGGGCGGTGGAAAGAGGGCAGGCTTTGGAGGCAGAGAGGGTAGGGTTCAAATTCCTGCCTACCCACTGGGTGCTGTGTGACTTCAGGGGAGTAACGTGCCCTCACTGTGCCTCATCTGTAGCCTGGAGCTGAGCAGTGTCTCCGCTCAGCACATTGCAGGTCCCTGGTAAATGGCAGCTATCCCTGTGCCAGCCTCTTCGACGTAGAGGCTCTCAGAGGGATGTGCTTTTGTGGTTTTGCCTTCACTTTCAGATTCAGGGGTGGGAAGATGGATTCAGTATGGATGAGGCGGCTCTCCTGCCATTCGCTTGTGGGAATTAGGGAGAGTGCCTGCTCCTCTGGGGAAGACGCATTTTCTGTCTTTTTAGTAGAGCAGATAACAACAGCTCCTGGGCCTGTGGGACAGGCCTCGGGAGAAACCCAGGTGCTGTTTATCAAGCTCTGCAGGCTCAGGAGTGACCCCTCTCTAGTTCCCAGGAAGGGAGGAGGCGGTGAAGATTCCAGGGGACAACCTCTTAGGCAGCCCTGGAGTCGGAAGGCAGCCTGAGCGTGAGCAGGGTGTGCAGCTGATGCTGGTCTTGTGTAGGGACCAAATTAGGAAGCTGGAGAGAGGCAGGAACTTGTCTGGTCACTTTTCTTACTTGTGGAAGGCAAAAGCCAAGGTTCCGCCCATAACCTTGAGGGCATCCTTTCCCCAAGAGTCAGAGAGGAGGAAAAGGAAGAGCCACGGAAGGCAGCAGTGGAGCAGGCAGCTCAGGGAGAGCCGGCTGTAGATCAAGACACCTGGGTCGGAAACTCACTTCTGCCACTTACTAACCCTGGTGGTCCCCTAAGTTCCCTGTGCCTCAGAACCTTCGACGGTGAAACACCATCCCATCAGGTGGCCACAGTACCGGGAAGGGTCAGGTGAGGGCTAATTCACTCTAGAATTGTGGAGGGTGGGGGTGCAAGGATCACACCTGGGTTTTGTGTAGTGACAGGGCTGCCATAGGTAAAAGATGTATTAAAAGCAGTGTATTGTTGGGAAGGGAACAGCTGAAAAGAACTTTGAAAACCCCTCAGCCTAGAAGTACGTTGATGAGCAAGAAGAGCTCAGTGCTGTAACCTGAGCGAATCATGCAGAAGCAGGAGCCACCACTACAGAGCTACCGCTGTTGCTTTAAAGGCCACAGGAGGAAGCATAGGGAGATTGGAAAGGGACCAGTGAGGTCCTGGGTGGGGAGAAAATGGCTAGATGGGCAGAGGCTGGGGAGCTCAATCAACTATTTGTTTTTCACAACCCAGGTTGATACCCATTAGTGGGTTGTGAAATAGAACTCTTTAAAAAGTAGTTGAAATAGACGGTTAGAGAATGGGATAGAAAATATCCAAGTGTATTACCCTCGGTTGGGGCGAGTGTTGTGACAAAGGGTAGATTATGGTTACATGTCTGTGCATCCTGGACCGTGGCCGGGGTCAGTGGCCTCCCAGGGCTGTGGAGACCCAGCTTGTCCTGTTACTGAGTGAGGGTCAGGCCAGAGACAGAAGGTGGGCAGTCATGTCCCCTCTCTGGATTCAGGAGGGTCTTCGATGCCACTTCCTAATTGGTCACTGAGGTCACATAGCTATAGGGGAGGATCTGCTCAGATGGCACTGGCTACATCTATCAGGCTGAGATTTACAACATTTCTGGAAGGTTGAACTAATTGTAAATATAAAATTACAACTAATAGTGCAGTTTACATTCATGCAAGCTCTGCTCTGAGCATTCCCCGTGACTCCATCTCATCCAGTCCTCTCAGGAACTCAATGGAGCAGACAGTTCTTACCCCTCTTTCGCAGAAGAAGGAACTGAGGCACAGCAGGGTGAAGTGATGTGCCCCAGGTCGCCATTAGTAAGTAGCCAAACCGGGATGTGAGCCCAGCAAGTGCGGCCCCAGAGTTTGTGTTCTTAGCTACTAAGCAGCCCTGCTTTCTGCGTGGAGAGCTCTTCATGGGTCTGAAGTTGACTCGGAACTTAGGTTGGGTTATGGGACTTGAGGACAAAGATGGAAAGGGCACATTTCAAGGGTTTTAGGAATCCCACTCTTGTCTTAGAATTGGGCATTATATATGTTTTTTCTTTAAATAAATATTTTTATATCTAAAATACATATATATTTGGGGGTTGTTTATCATATTTTATATGGTCATACTTAATAGACTGATAATATTTCTTTTCCCTCATAATCACTGCATTGGCTCCGCGTGTAAAGGCTGCTTTGTTTCTGGTAACAAAAACCAAAATAATGTTGGCCGTGTAGGAAAATGGCACATGGAAGCCTTGTGAGTTTGATTTGAGATACATGCTGACACCGTGCTTAGAGATCATGTTAAACTATGTGAATAAGACTGGCAAGTACTGGTGAAGGAAGGCCACTGGCCTGGGGGTCAGAGTGGACCACAGGTGGACAAGCTAAGGGTGTGTGTTTTTAAAGCGAAAGGCTGGTGAGCTCTGTTCATCCAGAATATGTGTTTGAACTGGAGAGTAATTTTCCCTGTTTGCCAGACATCGCTGAGCCTTGTTCCCAGCACCCTTTCTACGTGGGTTGCAGGCGGTAAAAGCTGGCGTTGGCCGAGTGGAAGGACATGGGCATGGGAAGTGTTTACACATAGAGTGCAGTAGGTTTCTGGATTCTTTTTATAACTTGTACTTGGTGGTTTATAAAAATAAGCCTGTTCCTTTTGCATGAGCATAACAAGGCCTAAAGACAGTGTGTGAGATGAGCCAATCAGCAATGGGGATATTAGGAAGGAGGAGAGGTGCTCTTTGCTCCCTAACCCTTCCCATGATGCCTGCTGCCTCCCCTCTCCCTGCCATGAGACCCCAGCCGCATTCTCTTGAAGCTGCCATAGTCCCAAGCAAGGCCCACACAGTGTAACCTCAATTAAGAGCCACCTTGTTCTGTGGGGTCTTGCCCTGCTTTGTGTGGCCCACAGAATCCCATGCAAGTTCACCAGGCATCCTGCCCCCTTGTCATTGGGCATCCCCAGTCGGGCCCAGCACAGAGTGTGGTTTGTAGGGAGGAGCAGTTACAGTGGGGGTTGCAGCTCTGCATTTTGCAGATGAGGACCTTTGGGGCCCAGAAACTAAATGACTTTCTCAAGGCCCCATGGCTATCAGGTGCCGAGCCAGGGTCAGAGCTGGGGTCGGGGACTTGTCCACCAGTGCTCTTCTCACAACCTGGTTCTGACTCCAGCAGACAGAGCTCAGCATCTCCAGCTGTAGGCACACCTGCCAGTTGGGCTGGGCAGCTGGCAGTCATGGGGTTTCCTGAGCTGCTGCTTCCCCCTGAACCCCAACTCCTAGGGTCTGATGGTTTCAGAGGCCCAGCTCCCTGACTCCCTTGTTTTTTGTATGTTTAATTTATTTTTATTGATTTCAGAGAGGAAGGGAGAGGGAGAGAGAGATAGAAACATCAATGATGAGAAAGAATCATTGATTGGCTGCCTCCTGCACATGCCACACTGGGGTTTGAGCCCACAACCCAGGCATATGCCATGACCAGGAATCAACCGTGACCTCCTGATTCATAGGTCAATGCTTAACCACTGAGCCACGCTGGCCAGGCTCCCTTGTTTGTTTGGTTTTTAAAAAAAAAACACCAGCCTACCATCCTGGATGGAGGTGGCCCATTGCCCAAGCCAACAGCTTGAGCTCTACTATGAGGGCACTGGAGGGCTACCCTGGTCTGCATTTGTCAGGGATGGTGGTTGGGCCACAGAGGGATTCAGCCCTCCTCAGTCATTTCTATCTGGGCTCTCAGCTCACCCTCTCAGGTTCCCTTGTACGTGGGGCTTATTTTTCCCTCTCTGTTCACTGACTGGGTTCTCTGCTCCGTCAGCCTTTGCCTGCACGTGGTTCGCCACCACTGTGCCCAAATGGTGGACTCAGCTCAACTCGTTTCTCCACACTGATGGCCTCCGTCTCAGCATCTCAGCTCCACACTCCAGGGAGAGAGTCCCTGTGGCCAGTGGTCAGGCCGCCAGATGCAGAGTTGCCTGGCAGGGACAGGAGCGGGGCGGGCCACACTGGCTTGGGCGCCAGAAGCCAACTTAGGTTTGCCTCTGCTCCCTGGTTGGCTGACCTCATGGGCCTCTCCTGGGGGAAGACACCCCACACAGGGACCTTGGGGTGGCAGTGGGCTTTGGCTATGATCTGTTAAGCCCCTTTACTGTGGGGTAGAACCCATCTTTGTTCCTGGTGACACGCACTTGGGTGCATTGCCACACCAGGCTTGTGCACAGATGACATTCCTGGGCCTGAAAGGAGGAAGGGGCATTTCTTGGAGGCCTGTGGGCTGGGAGTGGACATGGCCGAGGCCCCTGGCTCCCCCCTTCCTCCCTAACTGGCCTGATCATGTGGGTAGCCCAGAGGCTCTGGAGGCCTGCCTTGTGCATGCCCCTCTCTCTGTGTCACATGTTGTATATGATGGTACATACACACGTGACCTGTGCCAATTGGTCCCTTTCCAACTGGAACAGGACAAAAACCACCCCAGGCCTTTGTCCCCTGAAAGCTTTGAGTTCTCTGTGTCGGGGAGTGAGCTCACAGGCACAGCAGAAGCGGCAGCCTGACCACTCTTCGGGGTGGGCAGTGGCCCCAGGCCCAGCCCAGACCCCTGTCTGTTCCTCCTGCCCTGGCTTCCTTCTGCTGAGCAGGGACAGACACAGGTACCTACAGAGGCCAGATGAGGAAAGGACCTGGCTCAGACTGGCCTGGGCCTAGGTCCATGCTCTCAGCAGAGTAAGTGATGGGAGACACAGGGCCCTGGGATGAGGGACGCTTTCTTTGAGCGAGGTAATGCCCTTGAGCACAGGCCCCTGGGTGGGTGGAGAGGTCCAGGGACTCACTGGTAGAGGTAATAGCTTTGATCCACTCTGGCTGTGTGGCCTCAGACAAGCCACCTGGCCTCTGCCCACACACAAGGAATGACCGTTCTGAGTGATCGGGGCTGGTGACTGTGAGTGGCTTGCATACCAGGGCTAGCAAAGCCCTCCTGGTGACCTTTGCCTCTCCTCTTTGCAGCTGGAGGAGGCAGAGTGCTTTGCCACGATGGTGATCGACCGTGGGGAGGAAGCTGGGGAGTTCCTCTCCAAGGCCTACCTGGCGCTGGGTCTCACCTACAGCCTGCAGGCCACTGACGGTGAGTGCCGGGGTCTCGGAGCCTCTCCTTGGGGTGAGTCAGGCCTCCTAATGGCCTCTTATTTCAGCAGTGTCTACCTCCTATTACACCCCCTTTGACTCCTCTGGGATAGATGTGTGTACACACACACACACACCCCTCAGTCCCATTTCCACTCCTTTGTCCACACTTCACACCTCTCAGAGATGCCTTCTTCATCAACCAGTTTTCCCACCCTTCAAGGCCCAGCCCCAGCTCCTGGCAGAACTCATGCCAACCTCTGCCTCTGGGACCCTTTGTTGTCCTGGCAGCTGTAATGGCCCGCCAGCCCTGATTCCACATTCTAGTTCATTCTGGTTCAACTTTAACCTCAGCACTGCTGTAATCTTCTGGGGTCTTTTGAATCCCTCTCCATGCATAGTGTAGAGATGGGTATACAGCAAGCGTTTAATAAATACTTGCACTTGGAGGAGGGGTTTCACTACTGCTACTCAGAGCCTAGCATTCACTCTCCAACCCTGACAGCTCAGCTGTGTGTCCCCATGGATCAGGCAGCCACCTACTTCTGTATCCATGCGGCTTGAGAGAAAGGGAGTGATGGACCCCCCCAGACTAAACCTGGGATAGGAATCGGCCCCTGAAAGTATAAAGAGGTTATGGGGTGGGGTGGGGTCGGGTGGGGTGGGGAGTTAGTGCTCAGTGGGTGTAGACTTTCTGTTAGGCATAATAAACAAGTTCTGGAGATGGATGGTGGTGGTAGTTACACATATTGTGAATGTACTTAATGCCACTGAGCTGTACACTTAAAATTTGTTAAAATAGCTAAAAAAGAAGCAGCAGCCTCATGGATAAGGAAGCCCAAGGAGGCATGTGTTCAGGATGGAAGTGGGAACCTCTTTCTCCAAGCTCAGGCCTTTGAGAGGGTCAGGTTGGCACAGGTGACAAAGAAGGCAGTGGAGTGCAAGGGCCTGGTGTGCCAAGAACCATGCCAGGGGGCTGGGGTCAGGTGGACACCCCACACCCTCCTCCAGTAACCAGAGCAGTGGGTGGCATCAGTGGAGGCTGTTGGAGTGCCAGCATTTGCCAGACAGGGCCCGATGCGGCCTCTCCTGCAGAGCGTGTGTGCCCTGGGGTGGGGCAGGGCTGGTCGCACCCTCAGCACCCCCTCATGGCTGTCTCCATCCTGTCTTCCGCAGCAACTCTGAAATGCAGGCAGGATGAGTTGCACCGGAAAGCACTGCAGACGCTGGAGAGGTAAGGGGGCCCGAATTGCACAGGGGCACAGGTACCAGTGCGCATGTTTGATCTCAGTGACCCTCTGGTGTAGATGGAGCCAAGGTTTCTGTCCCCATTTTATTGACCAGGAAACCAAGGCTCTGAGAGCTCACGCATGAAGCAGAGACAGGCCTTTGGGGTTGGGTGGGTGG